AAAGTGCTCTGGTGATCATTTACTGGTTTTTGTGTGAGTATATGTTATGTGTTAGGTATATATGCTTGTTTTCTATAAAATAGGAAAAGAAAATTTTGGGAAAGATGAGGTGTGGTACTGCACTGCAGGCACATTCTCAGGCAGATGGTGTTTAGAAAGGAGTTTATATGGAAGTTATGGATCTGGAAATCGAAACTTTTTAAAAACTGTCTATGTCTGGTGGCCCCTGGAAAATCTTCCTGTACCCCCAGGCATAGAGTACCCCATGCAGAAGGCAGCTTGTTTAGAAAAGTCCCCAAGTACTTTTAGTTCTGGCCTTTGCCCCTCCTCTGTGCTCTGGACATTATTCTGCCCAGTAATTTCTGGTTGCTACTGTTTATGCACGAAGCTGTGTAGGTTACTACCATTTATACACCAGGCTGTGTAAATGCCCAAAAGGCAAAAGGATCAGACTAAAGCCCACTTGGGAGAAACCCCTTGCAGTAGTGGGTGGGGCTGGGTTGAGAGGTGAGGCAAGAGAGGCTGTAGGAGCCTGATGGGGCACTGGAGCTCCCAGACTCAGCCTGTGCTCTGGTTTTTGGGAAGGTGTGTCCTTCTTGTGAGCATCCCCATCTCCACTGGTATTGTATGTATCCCTTCCCAAACTATTCTTTTACTCATCCCTTCATTGCCAGGCAACCACTGATCTGCTTTCTCTCAGTATTCCATTGTATAAATGACAAAGTATAGTGGTTTCTTTTTTTAAAATATTTATTTTAAGTGTCTTTTTAAGAAAGAGTTTATTTATTTATTTATTTATTTAGAGGTAGGGGAAGGGAGAGAGAAAGAGAGGAAGATAAACATCAATGTGTGTGCCTCTCACTTGGCCCCCAACTGGGGACCTGGCCCACAACCCAGGCATGTGCCCTGAATGGGAATCAAACTGGGGATCCTTAGGTTACCAGCCCACACTCAATCCACTGAACTACACCATCCAGGGCTATTTCTTTATTGTAGGGCGGGGGAGGGAGGGAGAAAGAAAGGGAGGAGAATATTGATCGATTGCTTCTCATACACACCCCAACCAGGGACTGAACCCACAACCTAGGCATGTGCCCTGATTGGGGATCAAACTGGCGGCTTTTTGCTTTGTGGGATGATGTCCAACCAATGAGCCACGCCAGTCAGGGTGACAAATTATAGTGTTTTCATATGCTTTTAAATTCATATAAATGCCATTATTCAGCACTTCTGAAACTTTCTTTTTTTTTTGACTGGGCATTCTCTCTTGACTTTGATTCATGTGGAATGAGAACTAGAATACTCCTTTTTTAAAATTCTGTTTTTATTGTGGCAAAATATACTTAACATAAAATTTACCATTTTAACCTTGTTTAAGTGTACAAATCAGTGGCATTAAGCACATTTACATTGTTATGCAACCATCCCCACTACCCATTTCCAGAAGGTTTTCATCATCCAAACAAAAACTACCCATTAAATGGTAACTCCTCATCCTTTTTCTTCTAGCTCCTGGTAACCTCTCTTATATATACTCTCTTTATGAATTTCTGTCTCTTTGAATTTCTCTAGGTCATCTTTAATTTTGAAAGGTAATTTTCCCAAGTAAATAATTTTAGGTTGAGTGTTCTTTCATTCACTACACTGTCTTCTAGCTTGCATTGTTTCTGATACAAAATTTGCTGTGAACTTTATCTTTTTTCCTCTCAATGTAATTTGTCTCTTTGGATGCTTTTAAGATTTTTCTCTTTATCACTGGTTTTAAGCAATTTATTAATGATAGTCCTGCTTTAGTATTCTTCATGTTTCTTGTCTTGTTATTTGTTGAGCTTCGTAGATCCATGGATTTATACTTTTTATCAAATTTGGAAAATTTTTGGCCATTGTCCCTCCAAAATTTTTTTTCTATTACCATACCCCTCTTTTATAGAGTCCAGTTATGTGCATATTAGGCCTCTTGAAATTATAAAGCTCAGTAATACCATTCATTTTTCAGTCTTTTTCTCTGCATTTCATTTTGGATACTTACATTGATGTGAATTCAAAATCACTAAACTTTTCTTCGGTAATGTCTAATCTGCCATTAATCCTATCATATTTTTTTCATTGTAGACATTATAGTTTTTCCAGATGTTCCATTTGGGTCTTTTTAAATATTTTCCATGTTTACTTAACATACTCAATGCTTCTAGATTCTTAAACATGTTGGATATAATTATAATGATTCTTTTAATTTCCATGTCTATAGATTCCTTGTTCTGTATCAATTCATGGTCAATTTCAGTTGATTGATTTTTCTCTTGTTATGGGTCATTTTCCTGCTTCTTTACATGCCTGGTTATATTTTATTAGATCCTGGACATTGTGACTTTCACCATGGGTGTTGAATATTTTTGTATTCTTATATTTTTGAGCTTTGTTCCGGAATACATTTAAGTTACTTGGGAACAGTTAATTCTCTGTTGCTTGATTTTCAATATCTTTAATTATTTTTAAAATTTATTTTGTCTAGTTTTTTTTGTTGTTGTTTTAGGTGGAGGGTTAACACCAGTTCCTATTACTTTGTCTTCTCCAGAAGTGGAAGTTGAGGATGGATAGCTTGATAGGATAGCATGTGCTTCTCTAACCACTGATTTCCACCTCCCAGAAAAAGGAAGTAAGAAGCCAGAAATCCATTACTATTATTATAGGGCCCAATATTGAAAGGATTACCACCTAAACACCATAGCATTCTTGGAGAATTTTTACAAATCTATATTTTAAGCAACAGAACCCTTTAGAGTAGGGAGTGCAATGACTTTTGCAAGTGGTATATATTGTTCTGAATCCGATGTCCAGAGGCAGTGGGAAGGTCCTGGTAGGAACAGACACTGATTCTGTAAATCTCTGGCAGGCTTAAACATCAGAGAGAGGCATTTGGTGGTGCAGTCTCAGTCAAATGTTAAAGGGTACCAGCTTTGGTTTTAGGCTATGTTGACTCTTAAAGGTGGGGTACTGAATTCAGTCATATGTTGAAATAACTAATGTAACTAGAGTTATATATGTTTCATGTTCTGCATATTGTCAGGTTATCTCATAAATCACTGGATATTGCACATTTATGAAACATTTTGAGGCCCAATGCTCTGATTTGCTTCTTTCCTTTTATTGGTGAGAAGAAAATGTAAATACACTGAAAAAAGACCAGTTCTGTTTAATATACAGATTTCATTATCCTGAAATTCATTGAACTGAGCAGATCTCACTTTGGGTGTATGCCTGTTTCAGGATGTGAATTCAGATTTTATTAAGAGTGGGCTTTACGAAATAGCTTTTCCTTTCATCTTTGCTTCATGATGACTCGCTGTGGAATGTTTTACTTCTGAGTAATGTGTCCTCCTTTATCAGGCATTAAACAGTTGGCTCAAAAAGGTAATACTTGAACCAAAGACATTCAGTCTAATAAAAACAAAATAGATTTGAACATACGTAATGTTGATTATTAACTTTTATTTCCACGCTTGCTTGTGGTTATTCAAAAATATCATTCTCTAGGTATAAAATTAAAAGGGGGTACAGGTTTCAGCCAACAACAAGTAGATACTGGTCTGGCAAAAAGGCAATGTCTAGCAAAAAGGAAAAGTTGATATTTTAAAATATGGTTATAATGATACTTTTAACAATAGTTAATTCAATTTATGGCTTTTGATCAAAGTACAATAGTAAAAGCCATAGCCTTGCTGGATCAAGCATACTATGAGTCATTTTAAATATGTGATCTTTAGTATTCCCATCATGCTTACCATATAGCTAATAACCCTCTTTTTACATAGGAGAAAATGGAAGCTCAAACAAGTAATTTTGCAGAAGTCCCACAGAGAGACAGGATCTGGGAGAAAGCCTGGGTGCAAAGTACTGCAGGGCACCACTTTGAGAGATTTTCGGTGCTTCTTGGGTGGGGAAGAGGTTTTTGAGAGGGAGACTCAAGTATGCCTTTGCCTGAGAAGAGCTTGTGGAAGGAAAGCCAAAATAAAAATGGAACTAAGGAAGGCTAAAGGAATAATACCCAGAGAAGGTGGAAGGAAGTAGCTCTGTAACAGAACAGAAACTCTGATTTCTTTGGGATAGCAACATGGAAGATGACTTTGTTTTTCTCTCCCATGTACTAGGCCAAGTTCTCTGCCCAGAGGGACTGAGGTTTGGACAGGGTTGGTGGCACCTAGTGTGTGGTAACTTTTGTTGCATCCACAGGAGTGATCAAAAGAATAGCAGCGTTGAGGGTCCAGCTCAGGCCCTAACTATGTGCAAAATGACTTTTTCACCCAGGAATGCCATCCTACGAAGAGATGTGTCATCTTATTGATTGCCAGGGGTGACTCAGTTTTTTGCCTGGTTGACTAAGGGAAGGGTTTTTCTTCCTTCCCCTCTCTGTGTATTAAGATTACTAAATCTATACACTGACATTTAAAATCTCAAATAGGACTGCTCTTCAGGCCAGAGGGCTTTATTAGCCGCACTTCCTTTCTGTGAGTCTCTTGAGCAGGCTCTCAGGTGAAAGGAAGAATTTGACAAAATGACAACATGGAGACCTCTAACAGACTGTATTGTGGAAATGGAACTACTTTTACTTCCTCTTTTAAAGAAACAGGTAACAGAAAACTTGTCTCTGGCCATTAGTCATATTGCAGGGGCAATCAAAAAGGTGGTCAGTGGTAGATTCTGTTTGCTCTATTTTGAGTATGTACATTATTGAGAATTAAATGGGTTTATATAAATGGGTTTACATAAAATTGGTTATCTACAAACCTTGTAATATTTTGTAGAAATAGAAGTGGAAGTTATATTACCTACTTTAGAAAATAGAATTGTCTAAATAAATACCTAAAGATTTGTCCTTGTCAGATACTTTTCCATGCACATATATGTAATTCCTCAAGATTTTGTGTAACAGACATTGTTTACTAATCTCACATTTGGAGGATTTAAAAAGTGAGCTTTGCTTTGCTTTTTATGTTTTGTAGGAGACCCGTGTACTGTGTCATCTCAGTTGGAGTTAGAAGAAGCCTTTAGGCTGTATGAGCTAAATAAGGATTCTGAACTCCTGATTCATGGTAAAGGAGTAGTCCTGTCTTACTCTTCTAGAGTAATAACTCAAAAAAAAAATAACCCTATGTTCTCGACAATTTAAAACATAATACTGATGTCATTTTATTTTTTTTTTTTTAAGATTTTATTTATTTATTTTCAGAGGGGAAGGGAGGGGAAAGAGAGGGAGGGAAACATCAATGTGTGGTTTCCTCTCACACGCCCCCTACTGGGGACCTGGCCTGCAATCCAGGCATGTGCCCTGACTGGGAATCAAACCAGTGACCCCTTGCTTCACAGGCTGGCACTCAGTCCACTGAGCCACACCAGCCAGGGCCGATGTCATTTTCTTAATCTCTATCCCTTGTCGCTATGTGATTGTCCTTATTCGGTAGCTTCTCAATTGCTAGAGAAGACAAAGTCAGTCAGCTTTCTTAATCTTGGGAAATTTGTTTTGTGTATGCCTCCATGAATATTAAAAATTAGTGTTTCACAGCAAACTTTAGCATAGAGGTTAAGAATTGAGAGCCCAGTTGAACCTAAGTCATCCCCTTGAAGTTTTGCAATTTATGCAAATAATGATCTCTAAAGGTAAGGTATCTTAAATGTCCTTTCTTTTGTTTAAGGGGTAACAATGAAACTATTTACATAGTCATTATAGACATCAGTGTGTTACAGGTCAGCAAGCCTGAAACATAGGTAGTGGTATAGGAGAAGAAACCTAAACTCAGCCACCATGTAACCGTAGACATGTACACCATGTACCATGGAGGCCTGGGTTGTAAATCTAGGAATTCTGATTCCAGATCCATGTTCTTGTCATTCAGCCATGCCACTCCTCATTTTTTCATCTCATGTAGAACTCGCGTAATGTACTGCATTGCAGTACGCGGCAGTTTTTTATGGGACATTTGTGGAGCTTTAGGAGACCCAGAGAACTCTTTAAGAAACAGATATAAATCTCCCCTAAGTATAATGAATCATTTCAATACCTTGTTATAATTCCTTTATATTTTTCTATACAGTGTGTTTTTTAAAAAATAGTAGTTTGACTTTTTTCTGCCTTCAGAATTTGACATAGTGACTCCCAAGAAGTCCGTCATCTAATTTGTTAAGATCCTAGCAAATTTCAGAAGTCTTGCATTTTGGGGGTCATCTCTTTTTAAAATAAAATTACAATGAATGTTTAAAGAAACAATTGATCAATAGTATTAAAGAGGCTATTTTAAGTTTTATTACTTTTTATACTATATCGGAGATCTGTTTTCAGCAGTTAGTTTACATTTCAACTTTTAAAAAAAAATGGTATGTAAGGAACTGTGCTTTCCTAACTGTGCTCTTTATTAAACCTTGTCCTTTTATACGTCACAGACCACAAATAGTGGACTAAGTGTTCGTAAACATACTATTTCTTTATCTCTTTATAAAAAATGGTCTGAATTACATTGTTTATAAATATATAGTTTCTAAGATAAAACTTAACATTTTGGGGTTTGGGTACTATTTCTGGTGATAATTTATTCCTAGGTTTAGTTTAAAACATCTTTAAAAAAACTGTAAAGTTTATGTTCATATTTGTATACATTTTTGTAATTTAACTTTACTTCTTCATTGTAGTAAACTTATCACTACAACAAATATGTAAGGAAATAGTGATTTCTCTAAGGACAAGAATAATTAATGATGTAATAGGGATTGGAGTGAGATTTGAGCTTCTAATGCATTATTTATGGGTTCTCACTGTCGTGAAACTGTCTTTAGATAGCCTTGGTAAAGTGGATCTCTTCAGAACAATAATACTGACCATATGTATCTATCTTGTGCCAAGAGGAGGTCAGGTTGAAATTTGGGTCAATTTTTTGATACCTGGATTTCAAATTCTGTGTAATTTGTATGTTTTAAATATGCTGTATTAATTTTAGTTTCTTTTATTTCAGTATTTCCTTGTGTACCAGAGCGTCCTGGAATGCCCTGTCCAGGAGAAGATAGTGAGTATTTATATACTTCCTATCTTCAAATAAAGTTATTTATGATACAATGGCACAAGTGAAAGGAAATTAGAAATAAAACTTTTAATTCGTTTGGTTTCTTTTCCATTCTTTAGTCTAATTCAGCATATATTAACAACAGCCTAAACTCTACTTAGCCGGATCTAAATAAGGCAGTTTTTAGTCATAATTCACTGACATAATAATCTGTTACACTTTTGAAATAAAATGAACTTTAAGTCATGTCTCTGGGTTTTTAATTCTGGAAATTTTTAAACCTATGGAGAAGTTGAAACAACATTTAAAACAAAGATAACCATGTATCCTTTGCCTAGATTCACCAATTTTTAACATTTTCTGTGTTTGCTCTGTCTCTGTATTGGTATGTGTGCACACATATGCATATGTGTATATACATGAGAAATACACTTGTTTTATTTATCCTGCTGTACCATTTGAGAGTAAGTAACTGACATAATACCTCTTTACCTCTAAATAACACTTTACCTCTAAATACTTCAGCATACATCCTTAGGAATTGTTACAGGATTTTTTTTTAATGTCCAAGCTATTGGATATAATTAATGAATGTATTGAAAGAGTCAAACAACTGTTTGGCCTGATGTAACTTAAATACGCAAGCTTATGGCCCTGGCTGGGTAGCTGGTAGCTCTGTTGAAGTGTAGTCCTGATACACCCAGGTTATGGGTTTGACTCCCAGTCAAGGCACATACAAGAATCAACCAAGGAATGCATAGGTGAGCGGAACAAGAAATCAATGTTTCTCTCTCTCTCTCCCCCCTCCCTTTCCCTCCCTGTCTCCCTCTCTCTCAAATCAGTAAATAAAAACTATTTTTTAAAAGATCTTATTTATTTATTTTTAGACAGAGGGGAAGGGAGGGAGAAAGAGATGGAGAGAAACATCAATGTGTGGTTGTCTCTAGTGCACCCCCTACTGGGGACCTGGCCTGCAACCCAGTCATGTGCCCTAGACTGGGAATTAATGTAGTCTCTTGGCTCTTCTAGTACCTAGCCAATATTAACATGTTTAAATTTAAGTATATCAATTCATAGTTCATGAAAGTTTCTGAAGTAGGGTTTCTTTTAGGTTAAGATATTATTAACAGTAACTTTCTGCTGTGGTTACTCCTAACAGAGTAAATAATTAAAAATAAAACATCTATATTTAAGGTTCTGTATAATACTATCTCAAGGTTTCTAATTCAGAGCATTTCAGCAGGTCTTTTCTATCTTAGTTTTGAATAGTAAACTCAGTGTTACATTTGCTTTAAAATGAGTTTACAAACCTAATGGAATCTTTCCACAGTACTAACAACTGTTGTGGAATATTACTATTAATAACTAATAGACTATGCACATACACATATACAAATATCAAAAAGTGATTGACTTAATGAAAACTATGCAGGTGATCTAGATTTGATTTTGTGGGAGCTCTTTGTTTAGGAAAAGTATTAGTGTAAAAACCATTGGATGAAAGGTTGATAGGGAAGAAAATATTCTCATGGTTACAAAATGTCCCTTAGATATTTGTAAGAGTACTTACAAAAAAGAAAATGTATCTTTATAATAAAGAGAACTACCAATCACTGCCTTTAACAGATTGAACACCGGTAATGGGAGTCAACAATCCAACATTTGTGTATCCCTTGATGTGATGCAGTAAAAAATGCACGTCACCTGTGTGTTGCTTTTGCCAAAGTATTTAGTACTGACTCTGATGAGGAAACAGATAAATCTAGAAGGTGGGACTTAAGACAACTTCCTAGACTTAAAAAAAAGTCTACTTCATGAAAAACAAATAACAGATAAGGCCGAGTGAATGTTTTAGCATACATTAAAGAGACAAAAAAGGTATAGCATCCAAATGCAATGCCTGAATCTTGATTAGAACCCTGCGAGAAAAAGAAAGCTGTGATTGACACATTGAGGGCAAATAGAGAAATTTGCATCTGAACTGTATATTAGGTAATACTAAGTTTTAATTTTCTAAGATGCAGTAATGGTATTGTGCTTAAGTGGAACGAGGGGGAATGTCTTTAATCTCAGGCAGTGGGAATTTAAGGGTGAAGTGTTATATCTGCAACTTACTTGGAAGAGATTCATGAAAAAAGTGAATGTGTAGATATGGAGGAAAGCAACCTCTTCCTTCAGTAGCACATACACTAAAATTGGAAAGCAAAATGTGGCAAAACGTTAGTAGTTGGTAAATCTTGGTGAAGAATGCAAGTGTTTATTACTTTATTCTTTCATCTTCTCTGTGGACTTGAAATTTTTTCAAAATTAGAAGTTGGGAGGAAATGAAAAAATAGAAAAGCAATAATAGTTACTGAAACATTTATACTCCATGGGCTTTGTTTTCATCTAGTCTCTTGATGAATTTGTTTTATTTTTTTCACTTTCAGGTTTTTATCGTTATAAATTTTTTCTTGCAATCAATACCATGAAAAAAGTCATAGACTTAATTATAATAAAGTGATTTTTACTCACAGTTGTTCATTCTTGAGACTTTTAATCTCTCTTCAGAATCCATCTACCGCCGAGGTGCACGCCGCTGGAGGAAGCTTTATTGTGCAAATGGCCACACTTTTCAAGCCAAGCGTTTCAACAGGGTAAACCTTAGTTTGTTGAATGTTGATTTGAGATACCTGTTTTTTCCCCTATTATGAAAGAAAAGTAGTCTTGTTATTCCCTTTTAAAGGAGTAAGTTTACCTAACATTCCCAGTGTTTGGAGTACACTTGGTTTCTTGAGGTAATTTTTAATAGAATCTCCTTTCACTTTTAATATTCCTGATTTCATGATTAATTATATAGGTACCCTAGCTTATAGCTAGGGTGGCAGTTGGATTTTTTCATATAATTCAAGACACCCAGAAAATAAGGCTTATTTTACAAACCATTTAATATTGTAATTTTAATTTTCACTGTTTAGAAAATAATAACTGCAAACACTTATCTAGCTTTTACTTTGTACCAGGCACTTTTCCACGTGTTCAATGTATATTAATTCACTTAATCCTTACAACAACTTCATGAGATAGGTTCTGCATATTTCCATCTTACAAATGAAGATCCTGAGGTACAGGCAGTTAAATAACTTGCTCAAGATAACAAAGCTAGTACGTGGCAGAGCCAAAATTTGAAAGCAGTTTATCTCCAGAAGCTCATGGTTTTAACTATTCTTGATAACCGTGAATCTGTGGACTCCCATTGCCATTTTAAAACTAGTTCTAATTCATTAGTGTAAATAGAAGCCACCATTGGAGGTTCCTAAATTCTTCTTCCCAGTAGCACTGATATTTAAAAAGCTTTGAAATGAAAAGTCACTTTAGGTACTGCTTTTTAAGGGAGCAGGGCTTTGGTTTGACCTCTGCACAGTCTGGAAGGTTTATTTTTGCTTGAGAGTCCTTGTATAGCTTTTTTCTGCCATGTTTTTTAACTGGCTTTTCCTATTTTTATTACTCTGAACCTAATTATATGAAGACTGAAAATTCTTGGACTTACAGCAGAAAAAAGCATAGTCACAAATTTCACTAATTCTTTAAAACAAGCTCTTTTTTCTGTTTAGTTCCCCCCAACCATCATAGCTTAGGAAAAGTCATGTATGATGAAGAGAACTGAGCTAGAGAAGAAATCCACTCGTTTACGCCGTTTTATGAGAAAACTGTTGGGGAATGATTATGATCCCCCCTCTTCTTTTTTCTTCTTTCTTTCTTCTTCTTTTTTTTCCCTCCTAAATCCTGTTGAATTACTCTTTCCAGCGTGCCCACTGTGCCATCTGTACCGACCGAATATGGGGACTTGGACGCCAGGGATATAAGTGCATCAACTGCAAACTCCTGGTTCACAAGAAGTGCCACAAACTTGTCGCAATTGAATGTGGGCGCCATTCTTTGCCACCAGTAAGACACAGTTGTCTCTTTATTTTCAATGGAGCATCTTCGTAATGCAATAGAGCATTAACACTAGTAGTATGTTAACACTACTTTGTTAACACACACACTAAAATAGGAGGGTGGTAAGGAATCACAACTCTCAACAGTGTTGTTACAGAATGCGAGTAAGCATACTTTCAGTCCAGCTTATGTATTGTGAATTTGGGAATTGTCATTACAAATTTGTTTGTAGGATATAGTAAACTTTTCTGTTTAGCCTGATATAGAATCCTCTGGTCTGAATTAGGATGATGTAGGGGGAGCCATGTAAGAGATTTTTTTCTCCTCTTCAAGCTAAATTCACAAGTTTCATAACCTCTATTATTCTAGAATTGACACCAAGCAGAGATCAGGTGAGAACAGTTGGAGTCCTCACATTCGCTATTTAAATTGTCAGATTACTGGGGAGCTTTTGTATTAAAATTTTTATTTTTCACTCTCTTTTAAATGTGTAATTAAACCATGCTCATTATGGAAAGAAATAGAAAACACAAATGAATATAAAGAAAAACTAAATAAAAATCCCCCATGAAATCTACCATCTAAAGGTAATTTTCATTTGTGTGTATCCTTCCAGAACTTTTTCTATGCAGATTTATATGTATAAACATTTAAAATGCTTCCATGTGGGTTGCATTTTGTGGATTGCTTCTGAGACTTCTTTATAGAGAGTGGAGTGTTTATCAGAAGGCACATAATATTTGGATGTGTCTTGTTCTTTTACATGCTTTTTAACAAAAACGATACCATGTACGTACTATTTTCTAACCCATTTTTCTTCCTGAACAATATGTTTTGGTCATATTTAGCTATCTATAGCCTTATCATTTTCAGCAGAGTATTTTGTTATAAGTTATACCATAATTTTTTAACCTGTTCTTCATGATTAAATAGATGAGTTTTGTAAATTTTCCTATAAAGAAAATCATAATGAACTGTCTGGTAAATAAATCTTTTTATTTCCTTAACGATCCAGAAGTAGAATTGCTGGGTTAAAGAATGTGCATTTTTAAAAAGATCTGGATGAAGCTTTGTAAATTTTCTTCTAGAATGATTATACTGTGTTTATTCATAGTAACCTCTTTGAACATTGTGAAAGTAGGTTATTAGGGGTATCTCTTTGGTATTAGAGTTATGTAGCTAGTTCATATAAGCTGAGAAGTGGACTTGTACAAATTAAGGAGGTGAAAATCCAATCTTAAGGAAAGACAGAAGGCCAAAAATTGTAAACACAATTTTTACAGGTTACTGTTGATAGGTATTTGTGTGCATATTCTTAGGTGATGGATGACTTGTGTGAGTTTATAAATGTAAAAGAAAAGAGAAACAGGGTTAGCAATTATATTTAGAATGGGTGCTAAATATGTTGAAAGATTCATGAGCTTATCTTTAAGGCAGCCTTTAGATTATATAATGGTAAATTAAGGCTCCTTCTGAAGTTTATCTTTTTATGCTGGTATTCATTAAACCTGGGTCCAAGATTAATAAAATAGTAACACTTTGGTTTGAGTTAGCATTATCCTGAGGTTATTGACGGTAGGTTAAGTCAGTTTCTAGGAGGTATTCCTTATCCTTTTGGGGGTCACTGACATTTTTAAGAAATTGCAGAAAAATAGGAAGCCCACAAAACTATTGATACAATTTCAAGAGGTTAATAGACAACTTGAAGCCATATTCACTTAAAGTGAGTATGTGGAGCTCAAAAGAAGATTAGGTAGTGTAGAAGAGAAATCAGAGTATACAGGTGTTTAATTTTGATTTCTACTTGGTCTGAAATTAGTTTTGTGTTTCTTCTGTCATCTGTGAAATGTGACATTACCTCATTTACAGGAATATTGTATGGTTTCATATAATAAGATTAAAAGTAAATTAAATATAGCAATATAACTGTCACTTAAGTTATATTTTTCAAATTTTAATTTTAATATTTAAAATTATTAATATTATAATAAATCTTTACATTATAATTAATATTCAATTAATCATACTTTAAAGATTTATATTATAATTAATTACAATAATATATTTGTTATAGATTTTAAATATTATAATTTTAAATATTAATATTATTCTGTGTCTTATCAAACTAATGTTCCTGGATTTGTAGAGATATTGGGATTTAAAAAGAATCCATTGAGTTACTGTTTCTTTGGATATATTTTTAGGAACCAATGATGCCAATGGATCAGTCGTCCATGCACTCAGATCACGCCCAGACAGGTGAGACTGATGCTGTCAGGAACCGTTGTTTGTTAACAAAGCATCCTGCAAAGCCTTCTTTAGAAGGCTCGTTCACCCAAGTTAAAAACATTTCTGTTCTCTCCAAATAAAACTTAGGTAACCATATTTTCAGTGTCAATATCATCGCAATATTTAACATATATATATTTGACATTTTAAAAAGACAACTATGTAAACTACAAAAAAATGATTATTTTCTCCAATTGAGATACATTTCTTTCAAGACCCCTTTAAATTTAGCAAACCTCTTCTTTTTTAATAATGAAAACATACTGATTTTTGTGGGCCATGTTGACGATGTTAAAGTGATCTTTTTCTAATTAAAATCTTTATTATTAGGAGTAGAATGTATGTAAAAAATACAGAGGTCAGTATAAAAAATTAAAAAAAGATCATGTGAGTTCACATGTCAAATAGATACAAAACCTTAGTGTGTACCTGGTAAATTTAAAGAGCAGTTTAATGGGACAGAGAAGCCTGATATGGGATGAATCAAGAAGGCAAAGCAAGGAGTTTTTCTGAAAGGACAGAATGCAGTCTCTTGTTCATAGAAGAAGCTGGTTACATGAAATGTAGGCTTTTGGCTGGGGGACCCAAGTGGCTTCAAGGAATAGAAGCCTAGAGTCCAGTTTCTGTCAGTTCTTCGCTTGACCCGTGTGGTGCAGCAGTTAGGAACACTTCGAGTGTGAAAGAAGCAAGGACCGAAAACCCAGAGACTCTCTACCTCCATGCCTTGGTCATACTAAAGTAATTAAATAGAGTTTACAGAGTCCCCTTATGGAAGGAATCGATTAATTTGTAAAGAAGAGAAATATTTTTAAAATAGCGAAAATATTTGGTAAAGTCAGTACTTGGCTACTGATTGGTTCTTGCTGTCTTCACCCTCATTCAAGATTAGGGTTTATCCCTGGCTGCTATAGCTCAATGGATTGAGCATGGACTGTGAACCAAAGGGGTTGCTAGTTCAGTTCTCAGTCAGGGCACATGCCTGGGTTGCAGGCCAGGTCCCCAGTACGGGGTACGTGAGAGGCAACCACACAATGATATTTCTCTCCTCCTCTTTCTCCTTCTTTTCCCCTCTCTCTAAAAATGAATAAATAAAATCTTTTTAAAAAGATTAAGATTTAACTCATATTTACATACACTTTTATTAGTATAAACTTAATTTTAAATGATGAAGATCAGAAATAAAAACTAAAATGATCAATGAAGAAAAAACTTTAAGTCAAACTCAGTTAATGGATGCTGTTTTTCTTTTTTTCATGTTTGGGATTGGGTTTTTAGTAATTCCATATAATCCTTCAAGTCATGAGAGTTTGGACCAAGTTGGTGAAGAAAAGGAGGTAAGTTAGTCTTATTGTACATTATGCCATTAGTTCTTTCCTGAGACCTGACAATGTAAAAATATGACAAACTGACTTGCTTAGATTTTAGATCAGGAATTATTTTTTTAATGTCTGTAGAGTTTTATTCTGATTTAATCTAATAATTGTTATTAGATTCATTTAAATTAAGAAATGGTCTGGTAGAATAACTTATTTTTATATTAAGATAATATAATCTAAAAATCAAAATATATTTAAGAACAATATTTAGAATGCTTGCAGTATTGTTTAAATATACTTATAGATCCTTCCATTTTATGGGCTAATTGTTATTTAAGTATAAATGATTAAGCATCTTAATTGCTACTATTTTTTCTGACTATGAGACATTTTGTCAGTTTTTAAAACAAAATAAAATTTTAATTACAAATGTTAATTAAAACGATAACCAAATTTTTGAAAAGAGCTTGTAGTAAAACAGATTCGTCATGCCTCACACCTTTCACTCCTACTCTGACTTCTGAGAGGCAGCCCTTTTCAGTCGCTCCAGTTGGCTCCGTAGTGTTTATACCTCTGTTCTTCAGTATTAAAACTCTGTTTCTGGTCATGAAAAACGTAGTTCCTACTGCCTCATGAATTTTCGTTTATATTTTAATGCTTAACAGGTAATGTTTTATTGGTTACCTTTAAAAAACCCAACTTTTTATTATGGAAAATTTCAAACATAAATAAAAGTGCAGAAAATTGTATAATAAAGCTTCTTTATTGATTACCCAGTAAAAACAATCATCACTACATGGCCAGCATTGTTTTGTAATTATATTTAAACTAGTTACGGATTTGTAAGTTTAAACCTATCATTTTACTGTTTTCTGTATCTCACCTATTTATGGTACTTTCCTTGCCTGCTTTTGGGTTAATTACTCATTATTGCTTTTTCACCTCTTTTAGCTTGGTTTTCTTTTTTTAACTATTTTTTCCTATTACAGTTGACATTCAGTGTTACTTTTATTAGTGTCAGGTGTACAGCATAGTGGTTAGACATTTATAATTCACAAAGTGCTCCTCCTAAATCTGGTACCCACCTGGCACCAGACACTAGATTCCTATGCAGGACTTTACATCCCCATGACTGCTTTGTAACTACCAGTTGTACTTCTCAGTCTCTTCAGCTTTTTCACCCAGCCCCCAACCCCCTTTCCATCTGGCAACCCTCAGTTTGTTCTCTGTTTCTGTTTTTGTCTCTTTATTTATATCGTTCATTGGATTCCACATATAAGTGAAAGCATATGGTATTTGTCTTTCTCTGACCGACTTATTCACTTAGCATGATACCCTCTAGGTCCATCCATGCTGTCACAAATAGTAAGATTTCATTCTTTTTTATTGCCGAGTAATAGTCCATTGTATCCATGTACTGCTTCTTTATTTAATTGTTTATTAGTAGGCACTTAGGTTGCTTCCATATGTGGCTTATTGTCAATAATCCTGCAGTGAACATAGGGATACTATATCTTTTCAAATTAGTGTTTTGGATTTCTTTGGATATATACCCAGAAGTTGAATTACGAGGTCATAAGGTAGTTCTATCTTTAATTTTTTCAGGAACCTCCACACTATTTTCCATTGTGGCTGCAACAATTTGCAATCCGACCAACAATGCACAGGCATTCCACTTTCTCCACATCCTTGCCAACACTTGTTTATTGATTTATTGATGATAGCTATTCTGACAGGTGTGAGATGATACCTCATTGTGGCTTTAACTTGCATTTCTCTGATCATTAGTGACATTGAGCATCTTTTCATATGTCTGTTGGCCATCTGTATGCCCTCTTTGTAGAAATGTCTATTCAGGTCCTCTGCCCATTTTTTAATTGTTTTTTTTTTTTTTTTTGGTGTTTTGTTATATGAGTTCTTTATAAATTTTAGGTATTAACCCTTTATTGGATATATCATTGGTGAATAGTCTCCCAATTGATAGATTGTCTTTTTGTTTTCTTGATGGTTTCCTTTGCTGTGCAAAAGCATTTTAGTTTGATGCAGTCCCATGTGTTTACCTTTTCTTTTGTTTCCCTTGCCTGAGGAGATATCAACAAAAATATTACTAAGAGTAATGCCATACAGTTTACTGCCTACGTATTCTAGGAATTTTATGGTTTCGGGTCTTACACTGAAGTCTAAACTATTTTGAATTATTTGTTTTTACAATTTTTTTAAAGATTTTATTTATTTATTTTTAGAGAGAGGGGAAGAGAGGTATAGAAACATCGGTCAGTTGCCTCTCCACGCCCCCAACTGGGTACCTGGCCCGCAACCAAGGCATGTGCCCTGACTGGGAATCAATCCAGTGACCTTTCAGTTTTGCAGACCAGCACTCAATCCACTGGGCCACACCAGCCAGGGCATGAATTAGTCTTCCATGTGGTGTAAGAAGGTGGTCTAGTTTCATTTTTATTGTATGTTCTGTCCAATTTTCTCAGCATGATAACCTCCAACTTTACTCTTTCTCAAGATTACTTTGGCTATTGAGGGGTCTTTTGTGGCTCCATATACATTTTTGGATTATTCTAGTTCTGTGAAAAATTCCATCAGTATTTTGATAGGGTTTGTAGTGAATGTATAAATTGCTTTGGATGGTATGAACATTCTAATGATATTAGTTCTTCCTCTCCATGAGCATGGTATATGCTTCCATTTATTTGTATCTTCTTTAGTGTCTTGTAATTTTCCACGTACAGGTCTTTTATCTCCTTGGTTAAATTCTTAGGTAATTTTTTTGATGCAGTTGTAGATGAGATTGTTTTAATTTCTCTTTCTGATAGTTTATTATAGTGTATAAAAATGAAACTTTTCCTAATTTTGTATCCTGCTACTTTACTGAAATCACAGTTCTAATAGTTTTTTGGTGGAATCTTTAGGGTTCTTTATATATAGTATGTCATCTGCAAATAATGATAGTTTTACTTCTTCCTTTTCAATTTGTATGCTTTTTTCCCCTTGTCTGAGTGCTATAGCCAGGACTTCCAGTACTGTGTTGAGTAAAAGTTGTGAAAGTGGACATCCTTGTCTTGTTCCTGATCTTAAGGGAAAAGCTTTTAGCTTTTCACCATTGAGTATGATGCTAGCTATGATTTGTCATATATGATATTCATTATGTTGGGTTATCTTTCCTCTATTTCCACTTTACTGAGAGTTTTTATTATAAATGAATGCTTTTTGTGCATCTATGGATATGATTATATGCTTTTTTTGTCCATTTGTTCATGTGGTGTACCACGTTAATTGATTTGCAGATACTGAACCAAACTTGCATCCCAGGAATAAATCCCACTTGATCATGGTGTATGACCTTTTAATATATTGCCGAATTCAGTTTGCTAATATTTTGTTGAGGGTTTTTGAATCCATGTTTGTCAGGGATATTGGCCTATGATTTTCTTTTTTTGTAGTGTCTTTGTCAGATTTTGGAATCAGGATAATGCTGGCCTCATAGCTTGAGTTTGGGAGACTTCCTCTCTTGAATTTTTGGAGCAGTTTAAAAGGATAGGTGTTAATTCTTTGAATGTTTGGAATGATTTACCTGTGAGGTCATTCAGTCCAGGATTTTTATTTTTTGAGTCCTTTTATTACTGATTTGGTTTCATTAGTTGTTATTGGTCTGTTCAGATTTTCTGTTTCTTTTTGACTCAGTCTAGGAAGAGTGTATATTTCTAGGAATTCATCCATTTCTTCCAGATTGTACAGTTTGTTGGCATATAATTGTAGTATATTCTTACAATCCTTTGTATTTCTGTGGTGTCAGTTGCCACTTCTCTTTTATTTCTGATTTTATTTATTTGGGTTCTCTCTCTTTTTGACTTGAGTCTGGTTAAAAATTTATCAGTTTTATCTTTTCAAAGCTTTTGTTTTCATTAATCTTTTGTATTTTTTAGACTGTTTCATTTATTTTCACTTTGATCTTTATTATTTCCCTCCTTCTACTGCCTTTGGACTTCATGGGGTTTTTTTCCTAGTTCCTTTAGTTGTAAGATTAGATTGTATAATTGAACTTTTTTTGTTTCTTGAGATAAGCTTGCATTGCCATGAATTTCCCTCTTAGAACTGCTTTCACAGTTGTGATGCTGTCGGGATATTGTGTTTTAATTTGCATTTATTGCAAGATATTTTTTGATATCTTCCTTGATTTCATTGTTTAATCCATTTATTGTTTAGTAGCATGTTATTTAGACTCTTATGTTTTTGTGTGTTTTTCAGTTACCTTTTTGTAATTGATACCTAGTTTTCATATGATTGTGGTTGAAGAAGATGCTTAATATTATTTCAAACTTCTTTAATTTATAGAGACTTGTTTTGTAGCGTAACATGTGGTCTGTCCTGGAAAATGTTCTGTGTGTGCTTGAAAAGAATGTATATTCTGTGAAATGCTCTAAAAATATAAATTAAATTCATCCAGTCTAATAAGTTATTTAAGGTTGCTGTTTGCTCCTTGATTTTCTGTCTGGACTATCTATCCATTGATGTCAGTGAGGTGTTAAGGTTCCCAGCAGTTACCGTATTCCTGTCAATCTGACCCTTTATGTCCATCAATATTTGCTGTATGAATTTAGGTGCTCCTACCTTCAGTGCATAAGTGTTTACAGGGTGATGCCCTCTTGTCGGGTTGATTCCTTTCTTATTATGTATTGTCCTTCTTTGTCTTTGGTTATAGCCTTGTTTTAAAGTCTATTTTAGCTGATAAAAGTATTGTTACTTCAGGTTTTATTTTTGTTTCCATTTGTATGAAATATCTTTCCCACCCCTTTATGTTTATTTAGCCTGTGTGTGCCTTTTGATCTGAAATGGGTCTCTTTTACAGATGGCATATGTATGGGTCTTGTTTTCTGATCCATTCAGCCACCCTTTGGTTGGAGCATTTAATCCATTTACATTTAAAATAATTGTTAGTAGGTATATAGTTATTGTCATTTTTTTATTCATGTTTGTTTTTTCTTTTCTTATTCTTAAAGAAGTTCCTTTAACATTTCTTGAAATACTGGTTTGGGAGTGATGAATTCCTTTAGCTCTTCCTTGTCTGGGAAGCTCTTTATCTTTCCTTCAATTTTAAATGATAACCTTGCTGGGTAATATTGATTGTAGGTCCTCGCTTTTCATCACTTTTACTATTTCTTGCCAACCTCTTCTGGCCTATAAAGTTTTTGTTGAGAAATCAGCTGACAGTCTTATGGTAGCTTCATTGTAGGTGACTAACGGCTTTCCTCTTGCTACTTTTCGCTTGCTGCTTTTAAGTATTTCTCTTTGTTTTCAACCTTTGGCGTTTTAATTATGATGTGTCTTGGTGGGGGCTTCTTTGGGTTCATCTTGTTGGGAACTTTCTGTGCTTCCTGGAGTTGTATGTCTATTTCCTTTGCCTGGTCAAAGTTTTCTGTCATTATTTTATCAAGTAGGTTTTCAGTCCATGCTCTCTCTCTTCTCCTTGGTACCCCTATGATGTGAATGTTGGTATGCTTGATGTTGTCCCAGAAGCCCCTTAAACTTTCCTCATTTAAAAACATATTTTTTCTTTTTGCTGCTCTGATTGGGTGTCTTCCACTGCTTTGTCTTCCAAGTCACTGATATGATCCTCTGCTTCATCTAATCTGTTGATTCATTTCTGACTTTTTTATGGTGTCTGTGCCCTTTTTTTTGTTTACTACCTCTTTGTTGAAGTTCTCACTGAGTTGATCTTCTTCCCGTAAGTTCATTGAACATTCTTATAAGCAGTGTTTTGAATCTGTATCTGGTAAATTGCTTGCTTCCATTTGATTTAGTTCTTTTTCTATAGTTTTCTCCTGTATTTTCATTTGAGACATGTTTCTTTGTCTCCTCATTTTTGGCTGCCTCTTTGTGTTTGTTTCTGTATATTAAGTGGATCTGCTATGTCTCTCAGACTTGGCAGGGTGGCCTTATGTAGTAGGTGTCCCGTGGAACACAGTGATATAATCTCCGTGGTCACCTGAGCCTAGTGCTCCAGGAGTGTCCCTTGTGTAGATTGTGTGTGCCTTTCTGTTGTAGTTGAGCCTTGGCTTATCAATGGATGGGGCCGATCCTCGGCTGACTGGATGTGAGACTGGCCACAACCACAGAGAGATTTGCCCCAGTGGGGCTCTGGTACCTGCCAAGGCCACCCTTTGTGTATGCCATTTGTGGAGCTAATTGAGTGTGCTGTTAGGCTGGCCACCAGCATGTTGGTTATGGGGCCTCTTTGGAGAAGCTTTGGTGCAGGTGGAGGCCACCTGCTGCCTATGCCCAGCCCAGGGACACTTGGTAGGAGATACAAAGTCATCTGAGGTTGACAGCTACATGTGCTGGACCCAGAGGTCTGTGGAAGGGGCCAAGGTGTAAGCCATGGTTGGCTCCCACCTGCACCAGGCCTGAGGCCACTCAGCAAAGGCACAGGGCATACCAAGGCTAACCACCACCTGCCTGGGGTCTGCAGATCTTGGGGAGTTTTTAAGAAAACTCGCAGCGGAGGCTGAGGTTGCCTGTGAGGCACAGCCAAGGCAGTGTGCAGTTGGGTGGAATGGGGTTTCAGTCGGTCACCAGGGTGAAGCTACCAGTGTTCCCCAGGTTAATGCAGATTTTCCTTGGCGCCCACCTGCCCCTGCAGGCTGGGTAAGGAGAGGGGTCAACACAGGTAGTGGCGGCCCTCACCCCAAAGCCACACAGTTCAGTTTCTTTCCATATGACTCTGGTGCCCTTTGAGCTGCTGGCCCTTCACGGAAGCTCAGGGTGAGTGCCTGGAAGCAGTTGAGTCTGTGCATGGGCCCTTTAAGAGGACTGCTGGTTTCTAGCAGCCTTCTGTCTGACCTGGAAGGAGTCCCCACGGAGCTGGGTGTGGTGAGGCCTTGGAGTCACCAGGGTTGGGTGAGTGATGTTTCCCTGGTTAATGCAGATTCAGATTTGGCACTTGACTGCCACTGTAGATTATATGAGGGGAGGGCTCCATGGAAGCCCTCCCCTTGAAGTCACACAACACATTCTCTCCGTGTCTGTCTCTGGTGCCTTTCAAACCGCTCTGAGTACCCGTGAGCAAGTGAGTCTATGCGTGGACCCCTTACAAGGATGCCTAGGTTTCCAGCCGCCCTCCATCTCACCATACTGGCACGGAGTCTCTGCTGGGCTTCACAGCCAGCTGTTATGGGGACAACTCTTCCAGGCAGTGGATTCCTGGGTGAGGGAGCCAGTATGGGGGGCTGGGACCCCTCACTCCTAAGTGGGGCCTCTGCTGCCGTGATATCCCTCTTGATTCTCAACTGCCAGGTGTGGGTGTGGGACCAGCCTCTTTCACCTCTCTGCCTCCCCTATGTGGCCTCTTCTGTATACTCTTAGTTCTTGGAGCTCCATTTGACTAGTCTTCAGGTACACTGCCCTGCAATTCATTTGAAATTTTAGTGTGGTCACGGGAGGAGGCGAGCTCAGCACTGACCTACCCCAGCATTTTGACCAGAACCCTTTTGTGTGACCTTCTTTTGCTGTTCTATTCCTGATTGTTCTAGAGATTGCATTTACATCCTTAACTTATTTAAATTCACTAAAAATTACTAGTTATACTTTTTCCACCTCCCATGACATGCAAGGAACTTAGAACACTTTAAATTTACTCTCCCTTTCTGCCTTTGGTGCTATATTTGTCTTATTTTAAAATTCTCTGTGTGTATGTATTAGTGTTTTTAAACAGTCTATCCTTATTTAGGTTTATCTACATTTTGTTATTTTTTTCTGCGTTCCTCCTTGCGTGTCTGTCCTCCCATGTGAGATCGTCTTTCTTGAAGAACTCAGTGTTTCCTTCAGTGAGAGCTGACCACTGGTGGATTTCCTTAGTTTGTGTTCAAAAGGTTTTTATTTTACTCTTATTTTGAGGGCTCTTTTTGCAGAACATAGAGTTGTAGGCTAACAAAGGGTGGTACTTGGTCCTTTGATGGTGACGTTCCGTTTTCTGGCTTCTGTCCCTTCCCTGTATCCTCGCATTTCCTTTGAGGGTTCTGTGCTTTTGTGCCATTTGGTTCTCTTTTATAGTTTTCAGTGAACCATACAAAGTCTGGACATTGCCTTATCATCTGAGCATGTTCTTCTTTCTTAATCTGCCCTAATCTGATTTTTCTTTACCCCTCTTTATTTATCCTTTTTGCCACATCAGATTATTATTTTTAAATTTTCATGTATTAATGATCCTTCTTTTTATCCTTTTTCCAGTTTTCATAACATATATATATATTATATATAAACATATATATATATTTGTGTGTGTGTGTGTGTGCTCTTACTTGTTTCTTTCTTAAAATTTGCTATTTGTTTTTCTTGATGTTCTTTCACTTCCAGAAATTCATACTTAATTTTTATGGGAGGATCTGTTGATTGTATGCTGAGAATTTTGTGGCTCTCTAATAAAAGATTATCTTCAGTCTTCTCTATAAATTACTGGAAGCCTGTGTTTCTAGTTACAAGTGAATTTCAAGGCTGACTGTCATTCCAGGGGAGCCTTGGTGTTGTGCAGGGAAGGCTTGCTGTTCACTGCACTGCCTTGTGCTCATTGTGTGCTTCCAGCTCCCGGTGTTTGTGAATGTGTCCTTTCGTCAGCTCAGATTTCATGTATCGGACTCCCAGCAGACTCTTTTCATATTTCTGTCCCATTGGAACTTCTAACTACAGAATGAAAAACCGAGCTTATTATCTCAACAACTCTGTCAGTCTTATCCTATGCTCACAATTTATTTTTCTGTCAATGGTACCTCCACTCTCCCAGTCAGCAAAATTGGTGTCACTTTCATTCATGCATCTCCATTGCTTGCCTCTATACCCCAGAGTTTTACCAGATGCTTTTTAAGACATCCTTTAACATTTCTCAGATTTCAGCTCACTCTCTGCTGCTGTCAGTGCCCCTCTGACCTGAACCTGCGAATTCATTTCACCTTGAGTAGTTAGATTGCACTGTTTGGAGTGTTGTAAGAAAAGAATTGTTAAGAACTTACATCTGAAAATATCTTTTAAATCATAAGTATAACTAGGTATTAGAAATATAATTATTATGCAGAATACTTCCAAGTTGTTAACTCTTTAATATAAATGCTCTCAATAGGCAATGAACACCAGGGAAAGTGGCAAAGCTTCATCCAGTCTAGGTCTTCAGGATTTTGATTTGCTCCGGGTAATAGGAAGAGGGAGTTATGCCAAAGTACTGTTGGTGCGATTAAAAAAAACAGATCGTATTTATGCAATGAAAGTTGTGAAGAAAGAGCTTGTCAATGATGATGAGGTGAGCACAGTGTTTTATTAGTTCTAAACTGTTAAATTAGCATAAGTGTACCATTTCAGAGAAAACCTTAACATTCATGACATTAGTTCAGTCTACTTTTTTAAATAATGATTCGAATGGATTATATGAGATGTATTTAAGAAATCTGATAATTATTAGGTTTTTTAAAAACAAAAATCAAACCATATTATGATGAAAGGAAAGTACTTGATTGAGCTTTGTAAAAGTTTTCTAGGCCATTTCAAAGTATTGAAATATTTACTAGTGGTATTTTTCTCTTTGTATATAAATTGTTGTTGCATTATTATTCATTCTTTTGATATTTAGCTTAGTTGGTTAATAATTCCATTTGTGATCATTGAATTGCTAATAACAGATATATCGTAGTTTTAATGATATTTGAGTTTGATAAAGACTTCTTTTCATATTTTAAAATAGGATATTGATTGGGTACAGACAGAGAAGCATGTTTTTGAGCAGGCATCCAATCATCCCTTTCTCGTTGGGCTGCATTCTTGCTTTCAGACAGAAAGCAGGTAAGATTGGAAGATAATGGAGTGGTTACTGACTTTATGCGCTTTGGTGGATCACACAGTAAGAACCCTTCTTACTTTGATTCCTGAGGTGGAAGTCAGGGAGACAGCCAGACTCAACAGTATTGTGCTGTGATTTCCTGCTACTGACGTTCCAATCAGTGATATCTGTTTGGTTTAGCATGAGGAAATTACCTGCTTAAAAAAATAGCCAGGTACTAATATGGCAGTGAAGATCCACTTTTCAATATCCCTAAGATTTTAGTTTTAGAACTTAAAAGTTTCCCACTGTCTAACTAGGGGGAGAAAATCCTAACTTCTTTACTGTAAGGGGCAGTTGAAATGACTTATCTCGCAAATGCTAAAATTGGGGTGGGAGGGAGAGGCTCTGGATTGTGAGTGTACTATAGAAGTAGCAGGTCAGAATTATTATCAGGCTGGCTTCCTTTGTTGTACCTTCTGTGATTAAATAGCTTTCTACTCCATCTACCGCTTGTTTCCACCAAACTGCCAGGATTTTTGTTAATGGGAAATCATAGAATGCTCTGTGTTTTGACTGGTCTCCGTGGTGTTTAAAATGCAGAGTTATGCTGCCTTATTTTGACTTTGGTTTCCTGTGTTCTCTCCTGCGGTTTAGATTGTTCTTTGTCATAGAGTATGTAAACGGAGGAGATCTAATGTTTCACATGCAGCGACAAAGAAAACTGCCTGAAGAGCATGCCAGGTAAGTGTTTTGATTATTCTTTGTTTGTGTTGGATTTTGGGGGGAAGCTCTTTATATGCCAGTTGTTGAAAGCAGTAAATAAATTATTTATTTTAATATTAGTTAATTCTTTGTAAGTCATATAGAGGCTAAGCTAAGCTAAAACTTAGTTTACATTATAATATATAACAATATATATAACATTATATATGTAATAATATAATTATGAGCAGTTAAAAGGTATAAACAGTATTAAAGGAGAAACCTTTGGTCAACTAAACCCAATCATTTAAAAATATTTTGTGTGTTCACTATCAGCCTCTGAAATAGTTGATGAATTTACAAATACTCATCTTAATTAGGTTTGCAGTGATCTCTGACAATTTTTCATTAGAAGATTATTATTTATATACACTTGAGAGTAATAAAACAATTCCTCTTAAGCCACTATATGTATTTCTGACTGTTCTTATAATTATAATTTCTGAATTTGTCTGCTGTTGGCTTTTCCCTCTGATCCCATACAAGTTGATGAATAGGAGCAAAGAGCATTAAATTCTTATTTAGTGCCCTTTCTTTGATATTATTATATAAGGTTATAAATTGTTCATATATTGGAAGAGTTACTAGGGGAAGGACTATGGTCTTGGTAGGTAAGATTAGTTCATCAGTGCCATGTTTTGTTTTTTACTCATAATTAGCACTAATTATCTCTCTTTTGTGCTTCACAAGACTAATGAGAAAATGAAGCATATGCGTTTGTACATGTCTGTAACAAAGGTTGGAGATTTTATTTTTTTAAATAACTTATTTAGTGAAAATCTTGCTAGCTCATTGATTTTTGTTTTCTTGTCAAAAAGAGACAATATCTTTTAATTTTGTGAAAAGGCATAAATTATATCAATCTAACCTCAGGGCCAAACTGCTTCTTTTTTTAAGTTTGCTGTATGTGTATTGTTTATTTAGCTTTATCAAATGGTCACCATTCACAGCAAAGCCACAAATATTTTATTTTGTGAACATTGCCAGTATTTGTTCAGTGGAATGTGAGGAAAAGTAGTCCAGTTTCACTGTATGAAAGTTCCAATTTTGATTTTGTACCATCTTTGCTTTTCTAAGAACCGACGTACAGAATAAGGCCTCAAGCTCCTACTTCGTAGAATTGAGTAGCTCTAGGTTTTGTACCTCCAAACAAGGCTGTGATAACGTTGATCAAAGCAGCCATAAACCAGCTGGGGTGTTTCATTTTCATTATTCAGGTCAAAAGTTTTGGTTATCACCAGTTATTTGGTGGCAGTTTTAAAACTTTTAAAAAATATATTAAATGTTGTGGTTATAGAATAATTTCTTCCAGTTCCTTTTCTAGGAATTTTGATATGGATTTTATCGTTTGAGTAGTGAACTTTTAGTCTTCTTTCCATTCTAGACCAATCAGTGGGTCTTAGTGTTTGGGGAAGTCTTTGGGCCCTAGAGAAGTGATGCCAGCTGTGGAAACTCTATGGATAGAAGACGTACGTTGTGCACAGGCACACACACCTTTACCCCCCGTTGTAGGTGCTGGGCTACCTGGGGTCCATCCAAATTTAAAACCCCTGATTGAGACGTTCAAATCAGTAACTTCATCAAAAGTCTGAGTTTAATTTACACTGGGCCTTTTATCATTGTGTCTGGGGCTCAGTATTACAGTGCTACTTCAGTTTGTGTTCGGTATTTAAAAACTTGAATCATATGAGGTATTTTCATTTTATTTTAGGTTTTACTCTGCAGAAATCAGTCTAGCATTAAATTATCTTCATGAACGAGGGATAATTTATAGAGATTTGAAATTGGACAATGTATTGCTGGACTCAGAAGGACACATTAAACTCACCGACTATGGCATGTGTAAGGTGAGAGGAGTTCTTGTTATTCAAAAGGCCTCAGCTACTCCTAAACTTGTTTTGGTAAAATAACTTCACATTTAAAGATGGGGAGTGATTGCTACTTTGTTTAGGATACTTTTTGAAATTGTAGCACAAAAACAAATATATAGGGTGGGGCAAAAGTAGGTTTATAGTTGTTCGTATGGAAAATAATACAATAATTAATAAATATTAACACAAGAATAAACTGTTTGACATGCTCACAACTCTAAACTTACTTTTGCCCACCCTGTACTTATTTTCACACCATTTATGAAATTCCATGTTTTCTGTGTTATATGTGCTATGATGAGTTAATTTCTCTTTCTTGAAAGTAATACTGTTAAAAATTTGAAAATAAAAATTATCTGCAGTCCCTCAACTTAAACACAACTACTTACATACCACTTTCCAGTTTTTGCCATTTAATTGTAACTCTTAATGATACATTGAAGATTTCCCTAGGAAATCTAACTATTTTTAATACTTAAAATGTAAATATCTGATGTAAAGTACAATTGAACAAAATAAGAATTTTAGTTACTCCCAGGACATGTCCTTTATTTCTTGGTGTTTTATTCTTTTTGTAACAGTGTTTTGTTTAAGGGTCGTCTTTTCCCACCAAATGTATAGGGAGCTACTCTCCTTGTCACAGTAGCCGGGACAGAATTATTCTTACCCAGCATAAGTCAACAGGGATGTAAATGTGTGAACTGCTTTCCCACAATCACCTGAGGGAAGTGCCTCCAGAGCCTCCAGAAATTGTTTAAATGCTGAGTAAGATGGTCCAATAGGACTATAGATTTAACCTTATCTGTTCAGCAACACTAGAAAACAAAATCTTTACTGAAAGGATTTTTGCTTTTATGTATAAAATTCAGATATTTGTCTTTTCTTATATTAAATTTGTATTTCCTTTAATGTTCTATTATGCAAATTTTTATTGTAAACAAGTAGAAATTTAGTAGGCGAACCCCTATGTACCCATTCACTCAGATTTGTGATACCTTTTGATCTCTATTCTTTCTTTCCAAGTGCTTTTCTCCTTATTTCAAAAGAAAAATGGTGACAATAAAGGAGTCATAATTTATCAGGGGAAAATAAAGCTTAACAAAAAGTATGAAGTATGTTAAACTTGTTACAAAGTGTACAAATTAAAACAATAGTGAGCTCTGTTTCTGACATCCTAGATATGGGTTTTTTAAATTATAATACAAGAAAGAGTATAATGAAATGGGTATTCTTGTATGTCATTGGTGAGTGTATATATTGTTAAAATCTTTTGTAAACCAGTTTGGTGGGGATGTGTCAGTAATCTTGAAAATGGTCGTATTCTTTGGTCTAGTAATACTGCTTCTGGGATATTTTGAGTAAATATTTGTCTGTGAGGGTAGGTTTAAAACCAAAATTTTTTGTTGTATTTTGTGATAAATAGCACAGATAATCTATAAATGGCCACTGGTAAGAAGAATGATTAAGGAAATTACGGAATGACTACAAGACATAGCATATGAAGTCATATAAAAAGATGTTTACAAAAATTCCTAACAGTGTTAAATGCTTATAACATTAAGTAAAGTTTTAAGGTATACAGTTATCTAATTCTGGATGTATTATTATGCATTCTATTATGTGTTAGTCTACTATACAACATTACATATTCTGTTTACTTCTACATATTTTTAAGTTATTATTATGGGTATGGGTTACTTAAACAGTGAAATTCACAAAAATGAATTAAGACTTTGTCTCTACTTCTCCTTCTTTCCTATCTTTCTGATTTTTATTAAAAAAAATTTGGGGATCCTGTTTTGCCTAGAATATTTTATTAGAGAAAAATTACTTAATCTTTTGTTACTCTTAATGAAAAATCATATTGGTTTATTATACATTCTCATTTTTTCCAGAGATTCTCAACCAGGTAAGAGTTCTTATTCAATAGGGTTGTCAGTTGCTTCTCCTGCCTACCTCTCTTTCTGCCTTTCCTCCTTTTTCAGGAGCTACTTAGTTTTATGAGTAGGAAAAGACACCAGGATGGGAAGTTCTGTTCAAAGACATTTTTACTAACACTGCTTTGTCTTTTCTCTCACTAACACATTTATACCCTCGTGATGTTAAAGCTTACAGTGAGCTGAATCTCCAGGAAATAGAAATGTTCTTGTCTTATGACTTATGAGACAGTATTTAAACTTACCTAAACTCTGGCCTCTGGAAAATATTGGGTGAATTTCTTTTACTTGTAGATTTTTCCTTGGGAAATGTAAACACTAAAATGCTTTTATATCGTTTCTCCAGAAATATGTCCTTTAGGTTTAATTAATTTAATTAATTTCTTCACTTTCTCACTAGATGCTTTTATATAAAGAGTGTTTAGAATAGTGAAAACTAGAGGCATATATGAAAACCTGAATGAATATCTTCAGGCTTATGTTTGAAATATTGTATGAGCATTGATTTTTATGGACTTAAAAACTGACCATTTTATGAATTAATGTGCCTTTAACTTTTTTTTTTTATCAGCAGGGGAATTTTAATAACATCTTTCTTATGCCGTAGGTAATTAAGCTGATGGGCCTAGTTTAGGTAGTCAGTTACCAAATGAATGATTTAGTGTAGCTCTGTTACCAGTTAACAGACTGCATCCTTGCCTCTGACTTTTGCCCTGAAAATATATGTCATTTATTATTAAACTGTTCGTCCAGCCATTGCCAATACCAATAGTACAAAACGACCCAAGTCACAGTCATATTTCCTCGTGTATAAAATAGCTTCTATATTCCTATGAGGAATCACAAAGTAATCCTAGGGGTCACACCATATTACTAAATATTTCTTCTAGATGTTTATAGAAGTATTATATATAGTAGACTAAAATTTAAAGAAAGATTTTTGTACCATGCCCAAAATGCCTCTGGAGGGACACATCAGGAACCTCCGTTGGTTAGAGCATTGTCCTGGCACACCAAGGTTGTGGATGAGGGCTTCAACGTAAGAATTTGGAGGGACACAGAAACATTCAGTCCCTAGCAGGGATTGTGAAACTGTCCTAATAATTTGGTCTCTTTTTGCTCTCTGTGTTTTGAGGCTGTATTGTTAGGAACATACATACTTCATTATAACTTCTTGGTGATTATTCCATTTGTTATTGTGTACTTTCTCTTTTGGTACATATTAGTATGTTTTGCCTTAATTTTCTCCACCCTGTAGTTATTAAAATACAAAATCAAAAAACTTAAGCCTTAGGAGCCACAGCTAGAAGGGAAACATCACAATGCCAGTAGAGGTTGTATTAAGCAGTGGGGTCTAAAGTGCTGCTTTTCTACACAAAATATGATTCCTTTTACCCTAGTATAATTTAAGTTTTTCTATTAATTTTTACTTGAATATAAATTATTCTAAATGCAATTTTTATCTTAATTGAACTGACTATCAACATCCAGTGAGGACAGGTTTTCTTTAAGCTGTTTAAATCCATGATTTTAATAATAAAGGAAACTGTGCTAGTGATATTTTATTTTAAGCTTAATGTATTACCTGCAGATGCTGAGCTTATATAGATGAGATAAAAGAGGTGAGTGTAAAACAGAATTTTGGGTCTTACTGGTCTTTTTTTTTTCTTTTTCTTTTTTAATAAAAGGAAGGATTACGGCCAGGAGATACAACCAGCACTTTCTGTGGTACTCCCAATTACATTGCTCCTGAAATTTTAAGAGGAGAAGATTATGGTAATAAATTAATAGGTGGTATTTTACCTGTGTGCTAAAAGGGTGGTTAAATGTGATGCAAATTGCATTATAGTGCACTGTAGTATTTCAGTGCTGATATTATTAATAATATAACCTTTCTTGATCCTCTTAAAACCTACATTAAATAGCAGATTATAAAATTGGAGACAGTGGGACTGTGGCAGTGTTTGGGGGTACAAATTGGAATGATATTTTATTAGTGACAAGCACTAAAAGGTACTAGGCACTATTCGTAGTTATCTAAGTTAATCTTCTCAATCATATAAGGTAAGCACTATTCCCATTTTACAGATGAGGAAACTAATATATAGAAAGTTTAAACAACTTCCCCAACCTCATACCAGTAGAAAGTGGCAAAGTAGGAACTTAAACTTGATCCACGTGACTCCAGAGTCATGAACCTCTAGAAGATTTTTCAGGTTTCCTGGGTTATTTCTTCCAGGAACCTGAAAGATGGTGGGAAGATTGACTGCTTGTCAGGGACTGGAGGCTATGCTTATCGCAAGAAAACTTTTGGTTCTGGACTTTGGATTTCAGCAGATGTGAAGGAGTATGGGTACTTCTGATTCCAAGGTCCTTCAAGGATCTTCAGTTAGCTAGCAGAAAATGAAGTTTCAGACCCCGGAAGGTTATTTTCAAGTGCAATTTAATTATATCCTCAAAACAAAATATTAGATACAGGCCGTGAATCTGAAATTACAGCTTTATTTAGGAAAAGAAACTTAATGTTTCAGTTTTCACATTCTGTTTTTAAAGTTATCTGTTAGGTATTCCCCCTCCTTGTTAATAAGTGAAATATGCTTGCATCTATGCTGATCATGATAGTTGTAATGCAATTAGAGTTTACTTTCTCATTATGTTTATTTTTTCATCATGTAAAAATGAATCTCAAATTACTGACTTGAAAGAATGCAGATTGGGTAAATTACTACTTTAAAATTTCTTTTTTGAAGGTTTCAGTGTTGACTGGTGGGCTCTTGGAGTCCTGATGTTTGAGATGATGGCAGGAAGGTCTCCATTTGACATTGTCGGGAGCTCTGATAACCCTGATCAGAACACGGAGGATTATCTCTTCCAAGGTAACCTGCCGTATCTTGCAGAGATTCTCAGTTAATAACATACTCGAAGGGGAGCCTAACCTTTTGGCGTCTCTGGGCCACACTTGGAAAAAGAAGAGTTGTCTTGGGCCACTTATTAAATACACAAAGACTAATGAAAACTCATGAGCAAAACAAAAGTTTTAAGTAAATTTATGATTCTGTGTTGGGCCGCATTCATAGCCATCCTAGGCCATGAGTTGGACACCCCTGCTAGAGCATGAATGAAGGTGGCTCAGATTATTACTTTGAGTAAGAAAGCAGAAAATAATCTGGGTAATGTACTCCTCAATGGATGAGGCTTCGATTTTTTAATATACATCCTACTCTAGTCTTTAGTCCCATTTGCCAGTTGGCCTCTCACACGCAAAAACGTAGTTTCCTCCGGATTGCATGTTGCAGACAGGGATTGGAGGAGGGAATCCTGTGGCCAGAGAGGACAGCCTTTCAGGATCCCAAGGCTGAGTACATAAGTTCAAGAACAATATGGGAAAAATGAGGAGTACCAAGCAGATACGAGGTGTTAAAAGGTGAAGAAGAAGAAAAAGCCTTGCAATTGGGAATACAAAGAATTGAACAGAACAGAAACAAGCAGACAAGCACAGGGACCCCCAGCACAGTCCAAAGAAGTGTGAAGACTGCCATAAAATTCTGCATTTACCTTGCTGGCGTAGCTCAGTGGATTGAGCGTGGGCTGCGGACCAAAGTGTCGCAGGTTCGATTCCCAGTCAGGGCACATGTTTGGGTTGTAGGCCATGACCCCCAGCAACCACACATTGATGTTTCTCTCTCTCTCTCTTTCTTCCTCCATTCCCTCTCTAAAAATAAATAAATCTTTTTTAAAAATTCTACATTTAATAATTAAAGGCCATCACAGGATATGAATAAATATTTCACGTAATAGGAAATCCAAATGGCCATAGAATATGAGGAAGGATGTTCAGCCTCACTAGTGATTAGGGGTATGCTTATTGAAACATTAATGAACTCCTCTCTCGTACTCCTCTCTCTGTGCATTTGGCAAACATTTTACAGTGTTACAATACCAGTGCTGAGGATGTGGGGCAGCTGGAACTCATACAGACTGCTGGCAGGAGTGCAAGTCGACACATCTTTGAAAAATAATTTGGCGGGGTGCAGTCAAATCCAAAATAGTAATATGTGCCAGACATTTTCTAGATACTAACTCATTTAAACCTTTAACAATCCTGTGAAGCACGTATTATTTTTATTCCAGTTTTACAGATGAGGGAAGTAAGGGATAATAAGGTAGTCAGAGAATAAAACATGCATGTCAGTGATTGAAAACTGTTAAGTTAGAGGCTATTTCAGAGGAGGAAGGACAGAAATGGGACTGGCAAAGTACACGAGACACTTAAATAGTGTATGTGATATCTTATTTTTTTTCCCTGCTAAAATGCCTTAAACATCTCATAATAAAAATTTATAAAGATTAAGACCATGTGAAAGTTAAATATAATGCCATTATTTTATCTTTCTAGTTATTTTGGAAAAACAAATTCGCATACCACGTTCTCTGTCTGTAAAAGCAGCAAGTGTCCTGAAGAATTTTCTCAACAAGGTATAAATCGTGTATAAAAATCTTTAGTGGTTTATTTCTATATAAATGAAACTGTAAGTAGAGTTTCAAGCAATGCAAAATTCCAAAATATTAGAGGATGTAATTTTTTAGTTTAGATCTGGAATTTGTCTTTTCACCAAAGAGTGATTTGACAACATTAGATACTGAGATGAGTTGTTCTTTCCATTTTGCCAATATAATTTATCCCCAGCTGGATATTACATACGGTTTTTTAAAATGTAAATGATGTAGACCATGTACTCAATTAGGGAAAAAGTGCGTCTTTGCGGATAGACTCAATTATACTTTCTGCTCCAATTTTCAATATTCTTTGAATTAGTATTCATAGAATATCTTTCTTATCAAGCACTTAGTGCAGTAGTGTTCTCTGCAAAGTCTCATGTTAAAAATTCTATGATTAGATAAAATTCAGAAGAAATGAATTTTCTTGCTTCTTGACAAATCTGCATGCATTCAGTTGTTTGTTGCACATGGTGGGCTACAGAGTTTTAAGATCTATGTAAAGTTATGATTCTAAGCTGTTGTTACAGTATTTATAACACAAATATGTAGGGTTTTTTCCACAGCAACAACTAATTCTCCAACTCTCAAGACACCAACTGGGTATTCTACATTTCAATTCATTTCAGACACTAACTACCTGGAGTTAGCATCAGACTCCACAGGTTTAAGGACTCAATTCCACAAGATGATCCTCACTTCAGCACTGGCTGGGTAGCTCATTTGGTTGAGAAGTCGTCCTGTACATCTAAAGGTTGCAGGTTCAGTCCCTGGTCAGGGCACATAGCTAGGTTGTGGGTTCAGCCACCGCTTGGCATGTATATGGGAGGCAACCAATTGACGTTCCCCCCCTCTCTCTGTCCCTCCCCAACCCCCACTCTCAAATCAGTGAACATCTTCAGGTGAAGATTAAAATTTTAAAAAGGCTATCCTCATTTCAGATCCCTGTCACAAGTACTGGGTGCCCACAGTTCTGTCTGACTTGGCTATAAAGTTGGGGATTCCCTCTCCCTCACACACTTCAAATTCAATAGTTTGCTAGAATGGCTCACACAACTTAGGAAAACATTTACTTACTATCACCCATATATTATAAAGAATACAAATAAACAACCACATGAAGAGGTACATAGGGTGAAGTCCGGAAGGGTCCTTAGCACAGGAGCTTCTGTTCCTGTGGAGTTGGAGCGCACCACCCTCCTGGCACATGGATGTGTTCGCCAGCCGGATGCTTTGTGACCCCCATAGTACAGAGATTTTTGTGGAGGTTCCATTACATAAGCATGATTGATTAAATTATTGGTCACTGGTGATTAAGCTCAGATTTCTAGCCCCTCTGGAAATTGGGCTGAAAGGCCCAACCCTTTTAATTACATGGCTGCTTCCCTGGCAATGAGACCCCATTGGTGAGCCTCTAAAAGCTATTTAGAGTCACCTTATTAGCGTAAACTCAGGAATGATTGAAAGGGACTTGGTATGAGTAAGAAAAGATAATCCTGTCTCTTGGGAAATTAAAAGGGTTTTAGAAGCTTCAGGTCAGGAACCTAAGATAAAGACCAAATGTATACTTCTTATTATATCACAATGATCTTGGCAATCAAAGCTTATTTTAAATAAATGGTAGATTAGAATGTAGGTGAATGTGCACTTACCATCTAAAATAAATAGATAATATAATGAATTTGCCATGGCTGGTGTGGCTCAGTGGATTAAGTGCCAGCCTGCGAACAAAAGGGTCTCTGGTTCGATTCCTAGTCATGCCTGAGTTGCAGGTCAGGTCCCCAGTAGGGGGCATGTGAGAGAGGCAACCACACATTGATGTTTCTCTTCCTCCCTCCCTTCCCCTCTCTCTCTGAAAATAAATAAATAGAATCTTTAAGAAAAAAGATAATGATGAATAAGAAATTGAAGCTTGTTTTAATCTTAATGAGGAAAGATTTAAATAGGAAACCTAAGCTTTAACACAATGAAAAATGAAGGTAAGAGGTCTTAACATGCAAAATAAAATACATTTTATTGGGGGAAAAAATGGGAACATGTTCTCATTTTCCAGTAATGAATAAGCCAAGTTGAGGCCGCTTTTCAGTCCAGCGATTCAGTTAACGGTTTTGTCATTATTGTACACTAAGTATAGATTGTTGCTGTAATTGGGCATGGGGCTCCCAAACTGAGCTAAGAACAAATGTGTGAGGTTTGGGGGTTTGCAGAGTTTGACTATTACTGTAACTCACACCAATACATAGCTGCATGCCGCTCTAATGATTCTACTGGTCTCTTTTTCCCCCCATCTTTCTTTAGCAAGGAGAGATGGCTTGGCTCCGCTTTAATTACAAGCTAGCTGGAGAAAGAGCCATGGGGAATCTTGTCACAGGCTTCAGATACCCATTCGAATCTAGTATTGTACCTCCTAGAAATGAAAGGTAGACCATTCTGATTTCAGACAGGCAGGAATCATACAGTAGACACAAAACACAGGTCACGAAGATGATGTATTCTGAAGCATGATAGTCACCCCTTTCTGAAACATTTCTTTCCACCATAGGACCCAAAGGAACGATTGGGTTGTCATCCTCAAACAGGATTTGCTGATATTCAGGGACACCCATTCTTCCGCAATGTCGATTGGGATATGGTACGTAAATTATAATCGCTTTCTGTATTAGATTTTATTATTATATTGGGCCAAATTTTATTACTTGGGAAGAAGTTTGAAAAACAAGTGTATCACAGCCTAAATTGCTTAAAACCACTCTCTAATGTGCTTTTTGAGAAGCTTTTAAAACAGTGAAAGCTTAGAATATTAGTTTAATGGAGCAGGTTATAATATTCATTGAGATCTACGTCAGTGTTTAGATTTGTGAATTATTTCCATCATTGTGAATATTGTAAAGCCTAGTGTAGGGACTCACTGTAATAAGAGTGGGAAACATCTGAGGACAGAAGGGAAACAGAGGTGGAACTTCTCTCAGAAGGCAAGCTTAAACTGTCATCCAATATGTCTTTCTAGATGGAGCAAAAGCAAGTGGTACCTCCCTTTAAACCAAATATTTCTGGGGAATTTGGTTTGGACAACTTTGATTCTCAGTTTACTAATGAACCTGTCCAGCTCACTCCAGATGACGAGTAAGTAATTCTATAGACTAATTTATTTATAAAGTCCTTTGAAAGTCCCATTTTTAGTGGCTATATAATGTTTTATCATTAGATTATACCATAAGTGACCTAACCACTTTGATACTGGATATTTGAATCTATTATAATATCACTTTAAATTATGACAATAATTGCCATTTTCTACTTTAATTTACATGCATTATCTCTAATTCTCACACAACAACCTTGTAAACCTAGTTATCATTACCACCATTTTGCAGATGAGGAAACCGAGGCTCATGGAGGTTAAGTAAAGTTGCACAGCAACCAGGTGGCAGAGCCAGGACTCAGACCCAAATCCGAGTGACTGAGGCCTGTCCTCTCCCCACTGTGCTGCACCATTTTCCATTTTGGCGATGGCTGTCTGTGAGTTCTCGAGTATTCCTTTAAGGCAGAATCCTAGAAAGGGAATTAGGTCACAGGGCATCAAATTTTAAAGTTTGTGATGTATATTGCCAAACTGCCTTTTAAAAAGGTTACAGCCACTTATCAAGTCCAGCCAGCAGTGATCTGACATATATTTTGTGTTTCTGTTAAATCTTTTTAAAATGTGGTTTAGAATAATTTGGGGGTGTTCTGATCATTACCTGTCATTACAGGTTCATTCTCTCAAGGAGGCCTTACAGCTTGGTGGTCATTTACATCTGTTAATTTTTATCTCATGCTTCATAGCAGCTGTCCTAAATTGTCTCTGCATTTTAGAAGCCTTCAGTCCTACCCCCCCCACCCCCGCCTCCATTACTCTTAATGGTTTAACCTTGATGACAAGGATTGAGGCCTCCCTGGGTGAGCTTGCTCCCTGTGCACCCGTCATTAGGCCACCACGCATCCCAGGGTTGCTGCTTAACTCTTCTCAGCCTTTTCTTCCATTTTCTTGGAAGCCTTCCCTCTTTTGCAAGAGGTGCTCTCCTATTTTCCTGGACCTGTTCTCTTATTTTCCTCCAGGATTTTATTTTGTCATTTGCCTCCATTACTCAACCTTTTAAAATTTTTTTTCAGCTTCTTGCCCTCTACTTACAAACATGTTCAGATAGCCTAATTTTTTTCCCTCCTGAATCTTAGCTCTTCTCTGAACCACCACATTCTTTTTCTCATTTTCTTTTCGTCTGCAAGCTTTTTCAAAGATAGCTCATAGATGCACATGATAATAGAAAAATAGGCAGTGTCTCTATCAAATACCTTCAAAGTAGTCGACACTGATTGTGTTGCACTTCATTACTGCCAACACTTTAACAAATTCTTACAACTTAACTTGCTCCTGAAGGTTGAATTACCTTTTTAATTTTTAAATTGTAAGGCATTTGTAGACATCCCCCTGATGTCTGTAAAAAAACATTAGGCACTCATGGCCTTGCTTTGGTTGGCGCTGCCCACCCTGGTTCTGCTGCATCTTTATGACCACTTGTCATCTTTTTCCCCCTGTCCCCTTGAGAGCAGCATGCTCCACAGTTCTGTTCATGACAACCTTCTCTTAGCTATATGCAGTTTGTACCTTGGAGATCTCAGCCAGCCCTGTAGCGTGGATACCAGCTATTAAAAATGACTCCTAGCTAACCTGGCTAACAATTACTGAGCAAAAGGCACTATTCTAAGTACTAGACATTCAAAGATGATCAAAATGTAGGCCAGTCTTGCAAAAAGCTGTCCACCAGAGGAGACAAATATGTACCAAAATCATTATTTCAGACAACATTGTGTTTTAGAAAGAATACATTAAAAGGTTTCATTAAAAGATAGGAATTTGAATCCAGATGCCACCTCTTCCCAGATGGGTAATCTGCGTGTGAACTGCATAACTTCTCTGAGCCTGTTTCTTCTCACACTGCCTACCTTACAGGGTTACTGTGGAAAATAAATGAGCCTTGCCCAGGTAGCTCAGTTGGTTAGTGTCGTCCCAACACACCAAAGTTGTGAGTTTGATCCCCAGTTAGAGCACATGCAAGAATCAACTAATGAATACATAAATAAATGGAACAGCAAATTGATGTCTTTCTTCTTGTCTCTTTCCCCCCCACTCCCTGCTGCCTCTCTCTCTCCTTAAAATCAATAAACAAAAGTTTTAGAAAAGAATAAATGAGTGATGATTTCTGAAGCACCTAGCCCCTGCCCTGAGCTGCATTTCCACTCGCTTGTCTAGCATCTCCCCTAGCTTATCAGACAAGCACCTCAAACATACGAAGTCTGAAATTGATGTAATGACCCTTTATGGTCTCTTTCTGTTGTTCTCAATGAGTCTCTTGTTTTTATTTACCATTTTCTGCTCAGTGTACCACAATGCATTCCTGCATTCAAATTCAGAATATCAGTGATTTTGATCCCTCCTTTTCCTTAAAAAAACTGCATAATCCCTTCAGCTGCCAAGTTCATGTCTGTTTTGCCTGTACTTCATCATTTATATCAGATCCTTTTTTTCCATTCTCATTGTCATAAGCCCAGTTCAGACCTCTTTCAGATCATACTTTGAATATTATGCCATCCTCCTCATTGGACTCCTTTGCTTTGCAACCTGCTCTGACACCTCATGAAGCACCACTCCAGTTCTTTAAATCCTTACATCACAAACTGTTAGCAACTCCTGCATTGCCTGGCAAGTAAAATCTATTGTCTTGGCTGGCACTTACGGCTTCCCACCATCTGCTGTAGCCTGACTTTCTGTTCGTGTCTCTCACTGCACTGTGTTCTGATCAGTCCCGGTTACTCACCATTCCCTGATAGTGTGCTGTCAACCTTTGCTTGTGCCATTTACTCTATGTTCCCACTCAATTTTTACCTACCAAAATCTTTCCTACCTGTCAGAGCTATCTCAAATGCACCCCAGTCTTTGATGGATCAAGGTTAAACCCATAGAGTAAACATTACTGGATTTTTGAGCTAGTCATTAGGATTATTTGCCACTTTAATACCCTCTATTCCTGGACTCCAGCTCTAATAAAGTCCCCAGACTTAGCATAATATTTCATAATTTCATTCAGTATGTGCTTAATGAAGTGAATGCTCCCTTTTTTGATTTCTCCAACTAGAAATCACCTTTTGTTTTGCTTCCTTGAATCTTTAAAAAAATTGTTTTAATCATAGTTTATATTCAGAATCATTTCATATCAGCTTCAGGTGTACAGCACTGTGGCTAAACAGTCACACACTCTAGGAGGACATTCCCAGTACCCAGCCGGCGCCATACAGAGTTACCACAGTGTTACCGACCATGTTTCCCTTGCTGTACTCCACATCCCCCCCGTGACTGTTCTGAAACTGCCAATCTGAACTTCTCAAAAAATGTGGAACACTTCACAAATTTGTATGTCATCTTGGTGCAGGGGCCATGGTAGTCTCCTCTGGATCCTTCCAAGTTTAGTATGTGTGCCATCTGAGCGGCCACCACCCTTTTCTTTAGAGCTGTGGTTATGACAGGACTTAGCTTGTCCAGTAACTTAGCAGATGCTGCTGTCTCTTGCGGCTTTCTGTTATATAAGGTACCTCCCCTCCTTGAAGGACAAGACCACATCCTGTGTAACTTTGTGCTTTGTATGATGTGTACATTAAATATGAAAACATTCAGTAATACCACTCAATCGTATATGTTAACTAGAAGCCTGGTGTAGCAGAATGGCAGCCTCTCCCCTCCCTGTGACCCGCTCCGGTCTGGGGTGTTCTCCCCGCATTGCAGGTCTCTCAGTGTACTTGTTCCTGTTGCCTTTTCCTTTCAGTTCACTTCTTCTGGGCCTTCTCTTCACCATATATCCCACCTGGCTATTGAGGTGAATACTAAATTGAATACTAATTCAGACCTGGATGTTTACCTGTAATTAGGAATGCTATTCAGATCAAAAGTTAACATTAACTAGAATTGTTAAACTTCTTTTCCATAATTTATATGAATTAACCTTAATTTTTGTTTCTTAATCTTATTTTACCATTTAAATAAAAAGTTGAAGAAATCTCAGTCATGAAAACGTATTTACTTTTGTTCCAACAGTGATATTGTGAGGAAGATCGATCAGTCCGAATTTGAGGGTTTTGAGTACATCAATCCTCTTCTGATGTCTGCGGAGGAGTGCGTCTGATCCTCACTTCTCAGCTGTGCATTTTGCTTTTGTTGCTGTTCAGTGCATGGACGACTCATTACTGGCTTGGATATAATGAACCATTTGATATTTGCCACCTACAAAAAAAGCACTCAATACCTTGTATTGTTGACTATAAGAGTCAGTTAATTACATCCAAGTTTAACTATGAAAAGAAATTGAGACTAGTTTCCAGACAATCATGTCAGAATACTGGTAACCCAGCAGTCTACTGATGATAAACAAAGCTGTCTTTTTCGTTTGACGGAACTACTTACCACTGCTTTTAAAGAGTGTTGCATTACGGCACATGCAGCAGGCATTACTACATCATAAGCCTCCCATGATTTTTGTCATTCTTCCCTAAGTCATTTAAGTATTTAATTTTGGAGTAAAAGAATAAATCAAAATATAGCAACTTATTATATTACCTGTTAGTTTCCGAATTCTTTTTGTTTAAAAATTCAACTGTAAATTTTATATTGCCTTGGATAATTACTCATTTTTAAGGCAACATTATTAAATTGATTGGTAATAAAAGGTATTGCTTGCTTAGACTTGGGGAATACAGATGCTTCTTGGGGAAAAAAGATAGGTACATTTTATTAAGAATCAGATTCTAAATCATTAGCTATTTTTGAAAAGCTGATGCAAATGATTTCTTTAATATATTAAGAGGTTAGCTTTTGAGCGTGTCACTTTAACCAGAATTTTACCTGGATTTTAACAAATGTACATCAAAGGATACAGGATGCAGTTGAATGGAAAATGTCTCAGTATATAGAAAGGAAAAAATAGAAATTTAAAGTAGATACAAAAAAGTGCAATGGTAATATTTATTTCATATTGGACAGTAAATCACACAATTGCTTTTTGTGATTGGATTAAATAAGGAGGCACTTACTTATTACTAAACTTGTAAAAACATTCCATTTACCCAGTGGAGATGGAATGTATACTATTTTTCCTTATAATATAGTATACATGAATTTATCTTCCAAATAATGTGTCAAACATGCTTATTTCTTACCCCAAACACACTTTTCACACTGTCCATACTTTTGGACCCAGTTTATGGAGTCTTCAGTGAAATCCATGGAAAGTACGACCACGAGTAAATGTTGACACATGCATGCACTCGCACATCCCCTCCCAGCTCTTCTAGGTGAGTTTGTGTTCAGTAGGTAACACATGGAATGCAGAGTAGAACACATTTCAGGGGCAGCGTTCTTAAGATTATGTTTTCCTAATATTAGTGTTTAGCAGTGTATTATTTAAAAGGATGCCAGAGATAGCATCTTTCTATTGTTTATTTTAAACATTTTTTATGAAAGGGGATTTAAAAAGTAACCATAATCATCTAAATTACTTATAATTGCCCACTCTTAGTAAAATTTAATTTTGGGGAAAGCTATTGAATCTTCAACTTAGAAAGATTTAAAATCAATAGGCATTTAATAAACTACCTTCTCTTTTTGGATGCTGCATTTCATTAGAAATACAATTTTTCCAAAGTTTCTGACCATGTACTCTCTTCTTTAAATAATTAAGTCTGAAAGCAATGAAAACCTCAAAGGAAAAATGTTTATATACATCCACATGTTTATTTAAGAAGTATATATGTTTCTCTTAATACCTAAGACTTGTTTTAAAACAAAAAGCAGCATTCACTCAAATGGTAAACTTATGGAAAATTCTGACATCTTATGTCAGAAGTATGTTATGACCTTGCTTTTAAGTGGTACTGTTTCCCCTAGGGCATTAGTTCTAAAATTTTAGAGTGTGGAATAAGTTCATGTAAAAGCACATTACAGGGCCAACCCTAGGTTTCCGTTGGGTCTTTGAACCACATTTTAAGAAAACTTTGAGTTACTCTTTTATTTTGTCCTGTAGTTAAATATTAGAAAGAGTATTCATGATTAAACACTTTGAGAAGGGGTAGGCAGTGAGTTACTATTTTATCTACTATTTTAAATACATTTTAAATGAATGACTTTTTCAAGTTGGGTATCTTCTCAAAAAAAGTCCATCAGTTTTCTATCAATAATGTTGCAAATGATGAACAATTTTCTGTGATGAGGTTTTAACTATTGTTCAGGGCGGTCTTTTGTTTTTAAATCTTTTTTTAAAAAACTAGTAAGATTTACTGTGTATATTTTATACAGAATTGCATTACAAATATGTTTTTAATTGTGTTCTGTTTAAGTGCCATGACCATTATTTTTATATTATATAGAAGTTCACCGAAAATACTCACCAGGGGAAAAAAGGCAGTTGATAGAATGGTTGGAATTTTGGTGTTCTGAGAAAAAATTTATTTTGTATAAGCATGTGGTCGGATCATTTTATGTGTATGCAGCCTGAATTGGCTGTCAGGTACTTTGCTTTATACATTCACTTTTTAAATTTTGTTTTGACTTTTGTCATGTAGAACACTGCCGTGGTCATCATAATGTAGTCTTGTATTTGTGTGCCTTTTTTTTTTACTTTAAAATCTTTAAATAAAATGTTTAATACCCATCAAGATTGGAACATTTTTTAATTATGTAACAGACCAGAAATTTATTTACAGTATATCAAAATGTATTCCAAAAGAAAAATGAGAATTTAAGGGTTTGGAATTTTGCTCTAAGCCAGTTGATGAAAGACAAATACCATATCTCACCTGTAAGAGGAACCTAATGAACACAAACAAACTAATGAGCAAAATAGAACCAGCGGCATGGAAACATGGAACAGACTGACAGTGACCAGAGGGGAGGTGGGGAATGGTGGAGAGAAGGGGAAGGGACTAGTCAAAGAACATGTGCGACTGACTCATGGACCTGGGCAACAGTGAACCGTCCGGTGCATTTGATGGTCTCCTTTGTGGAGTGACCCTTCTCGGCTCTAGGACTTTAGGGCTTAGTTAAAGGTGTAAAGCCATATCCCAGACAGTCTGAGCAGTTTGTATTCAGAGTTTATTGCTCCAGAATATACTTGGAATCTATTAATCCGTGGTGCTAAATGAGGCTAATAAAAGGATAGGACCTCTACCCTTGACATTTGAGATGGAAAACAGCTGAGGAAGATGTTCATCTTCACAACAGTGATAAAAGACAAATAAATGCATTATGTGGTCATGATAGTTTATCAGCTTCACCAATAAAACCTGTCAGTTTTACTTAACGTGTAATTAATCCGTGCTAGACATTTTTCAGGTTTATGGTAGGTTCCACAAAGCTTTCAGAATTCGTATGCAGTAAGAATGAAATCTTAGATGCCTGTGTATTACATATATATGTACATGTGACCATTTTTGGCTTTTGAGCTCAGGAATATGGATTTTACATGGAGACAGAAAGAGGAATTGTTCAATGCTTCTGCTTAGATTAATTTTGTATAGTCCATCTCTGGACTTTGTAATTAAAATGAATCTAGCTCAGAATCTGAGAGTGATTTTTGGATGTGAAATGTGGCAGTACACTTCACCTTCATGTAGCAATTTGTGCCTTACAGGCTTAATGGTGTCTTTTTTTTAAGGGTCTGTTGTGTCCACTTTTTAAAATATTGTTAGATATTTAATTTATTTTTAGGGGGAAAGGATGAGAGAGAGAGGGAGAGAAACATGATGTGAGAGAGAAACAGCAATCAGTTGCCTCTCTCACACCTTCAACTGGGGACCTGGCCCACAACCCAGGCATGTTCCCTGACTGGGAATTGAACCAGCAACCTTTTAGTCCACAGGCCAGCACCACACCATTGAGCCACACCAGCCAGGGCATAACAGTGGTTTTTTTACTCCAGTTACTATTTTCAATGTTTTTATAGAAGAAAGTGAAATTACAAGTATCTAAGAATTAAGTGTCTGTGTACTGTGACTTTTCCCAGGCTATCTGAAAGTTGTAACAAGACAGATGGAGTCACTGGAATCCAGCGAGCTTTAATTCAAGTCTAGCTAGTCAGAAGCAAATTCTAATTGTGTGAGAAAGAGCCCATTGAAAGCTGCTAGCAAAATCCTTGAAAAAATTAGATGCTTTGTGTGTTTTTTTCCATAAAAGGAAAGTGCTGGGTTTCTAGAGGTAGTGCCACATAACCAGATTTAAAACTTACATGATACTGTCTGCAAGGTGGGTGACTGTTTACATTATTCCAAGTGTACTTAGGAGTCAAATGCACCTAAGTACAAGAGCCCAATTCTGACACTTTTTATGGCCTTTTATGTTTTTTTCCAAATAAATTTTTTCTAGGGTCTCTAGGTTTTTATTTAAAAGTCAGATTTTAAAATTTAAGGATTATGAAAGGTGTATACATTTTTGAACAGTTTGAGTCAAGTTTACCCAGTTTGAAACTTTTAATGAGAAAATCTGAGTATGTGCCAATGGTTTGATGTTTTGCTAAATTTTTCTTTTAAGTTTAAATTTTTAACTCATGTATTATTCATTGGAGGCTTTATACTGACTGTATCTAGCACTATACTGATTCTGCAGGATTTAGAAGTGTTTTGTTCCCCCCATCATCCAAGGACATTGTTTTCACTGCTTTTAGAGAGGGAGGGAGGGAGAGAAACATTGACGGGAGAGAGAAGCATCCATTGGTTGCCTCCTGTAGGTGCTGGGACCAGGATCAAACCCACAACTTAGGAACATGCCCTGACCATTAGTCGAACGTGCAACCATTTGGTTACAAGACAACGCTCCAACCAACCGAGCCACATTGACCAGGGCGAGAAAAGTTTTATCATAAGGAATTTTTGATATAAGGAATAAATTTATTCTAGGAAGGTTGGCTTAAGTTTAAAACAAAACTCTGTGTGTATGTTATCTCTTTAGGTAGAGGATTTACCCAATGATTAAAGTAAAAATTAACATTCTGCCCCAAGTAAAGAGGTCTGAAAAACATGGAAATGGGAGGGGGCGGTCGTGCCTCTGCTCCCCTCAGAATGGTGGTTCTGTCTGCGTCACACCACCAGGGGCCAGTCTTGCTGTAGAGAAGGCCTGAGCTGCCAGCACCTTGTTCCTCTGGAGGAGGCAGTGTGTTCACAACAGGCGGGTTACCAAGAGGTTCCAAGATTTTACCAGTGTTGATCGTGTATATTTTGATTCTACAGAATTGCTTCGCCTTCTTTAATTGTTCTAGGTGTTGGACGTTCCGTATTTATAAAACACAAAGGAGGACCTACTGTGTGCCCTGCACTGGGGATATAGGGAGCAAGAGTGTCGTCATATTTTATGCTTTCTGGGTACTGTTCCATTTGTGAAAGATATCTTTAGCTGAACATAAAACCAGGGCTGTTCTTCATTATTTTAATACAGAGGAATTCAATGAAAACAAAATCTAAGAGTTGTCCACATGCTTTAGTTGTGGGACTTCCTATATTAAATATTGCATGGCATTAACAAGTGTCATTCAAAGGCTGATCCATGAATATTTGTAGATACTCAGATTGTTCATTAAAAACATGATTTCAGAAAAATTTTGACTATGTTGCTGAAGGGCAAAATTTTGCCACCCTGAAGCTACTTTTGGGGATTTTAATTTTAAGCTGTTTATTAAGAAACAAGGCCCTGACTGGAGTGGCTCTGTGGGTTGGGCATTGCCCCCCAAAGGGAAAGGCCGCCAGTTCGATTCCCAGTCAGGGCACATGCCTGGGTTGTGGGCCACATTCCGGGCTGGGGGCATTTGAGAGGTAACTGATCGATGTTTTTCTTGCACAATGATGTTTCTCTCCCTCTCTATCTCCCTCCCTTCCCCTCTCTCTCAAAATAAATAAATCTTAAGAAAGAAAAAAGAAAGGAAGGAAAGAAGGGAGGGGCAGAGGGAGGGAGGAAGGAAGAAGGAAGAGAAAATATTCAGAAAGAGCCTTCGACACAGCCCCCCTTCCTCTCCTGCTTGTGAGATTCAGACAGAGAAAAGCTGCTTCAGGAAGGAGATCTTTGGATGTCCACTTCAGCCTAGTTTGAATTACAAACGGTAAACAAGAGGGTTTCGGGCAGCCTAGGCTGGATAGCCCCTGTATCCTGTTGTTTCTGAGTTGCCTAGCAAGGATTTTCCTCCAGTGTGTTTCAATCTTCTTCATCTACCTGTAAGTTGCCCATTCTTACTTATGACATTTAATTACCCCGTTCCCACTTTTCTTCTTTGTCCAGATATCCAATGTTGCCTCACTGTCTTTGGAATTTTCATGGAATGATCTTGTCTATGTGAATTCCCCATGCACATATATTCAACTTTGATTTTCTCCTGTTACTCCGTCTCTGATAATTTGATTATTAGCCCAGCCTTGAAGAATTTAGAAGGTGGGAAGGGAAGTATTAATATTTTTTGGCACCCACATTGCTATTGCACAAAACTTTCGTACTAGAGGTAGTTGAAATCAGTTTACAAAGAAAAGACATTTTGCTGGTAATCTCATTGAAAATTAATTTCCACCATCCTTCAATTCCAGACATTTATTTATTTCATTGCCCAAAATAACTGACTGTACAATGTGTTGTAAGTTGCATAAAATCTCACACCTTCTCCTTCACAGGTTTTTCATCAACAACTTCTTTAGGTTGTTGTGCTGTTGATGCCACGTTATAATCTGCACATTGTAACTAGTAGTAAGAGTAACTGGGATGTATGAAATCTGCCCACTGACCAAGTGGACATCCTTAAAAATATGAGTTACTTTTTGTATTTTGAAATAGAAGGGAAAGCTTGCGCCTTATAGTTATGAGTCCTGGCATTTTTACTTCAGTTTGATTTTTAGCAATGACAAAGGAGGTTAAGGTTTCCCCCAAAAGTTGCTCCTTGATGTTCGGTGCACCCCAAGAGGAATAGCATTCATGGATTTTAAGAGCCAACACAGGCCAGGCCCATGCGGAACACTCTGCACACCTCATTTAACCCCAACAACCCTCTGGCCATGCCTCCCACTCCAGAGCCACTGGACTGAGCTCCTTGTAGGTGTGACGTGAGGCTAGCCTCTCTGGCTGGTCTCAAGTTAAATTTTGAGAACCACTAATCTGTATTGATATGTACTATGATCCCTGTTCAACAAATGAAAACAAAAAGACTTAGGGAAGTTAAGTAACTTACAAGGTGCATATGGCTTTAGTGTTTGTTGCCTCCCTAGACAGTTTATATAAAGTTTGCTCCAAGGCCTGAGTCCCCTGAGATAATACACACAACCAGTGCACTGGTGTGCAAACTCAGTCTTGTTAACTGACTCCTTGATGGACATCACGGTGGGTCTGCTTTGTCCTTGCTCTGCACCTGGTTGCCTCACCCTGCCGGCCTCTTCCTAGGATGCCGTGCTCTATCTACCCATGCTTGACCCTCCCATTTCTTAGACCTACGAATTACACTTTTCTCGGACAGTCCAGGTCCCCTTTCTTTCAAGCACTCAGAACTGTGTGGTAGCCTATCAGAAGATGTTCCTATGTCTAACATTTGGTGTGAGCCTACTTAATGAAATAATCCGAGGCTGGCCTCTTCACCTAACTATGACTCCCTCCCAAAAAGACCAGGATGCTGCTGATGGCCAGGAAACTAGGATGT